GCCATCTTGTTTGTTCTCTATTCAGATTTCTCTTTTTTGCTCTTTCTCTTCTCTCCCATATTCTGCCTTTCAAAAAACTTCCTTCAGGGAAACTGGGAGTTAGTTATGGGAGAATGGGGCACAGTAAATTACTTGTGAGTGACCAAGTGTGGTTTGTTGTTGTTGTTAAGTGCCATCGAATTGGTTCCAACCCATAGCGACCCTGTATAGGATTTCCAAGAAGCAACTGGTGAGCTTGAACCGCCAACCTTGCAGTTCAAATGACTTTGCAGTCTGGCACTTTAATCCACAAGAGCCACACATGGCTTATTCAGTCAACCTTTTTATTGAAGGCTTATTGAGTACCCAGCACCAAGTCAGAGACAAAGGATATAAATTTGAAAAGGCAGTCACTGCTCTCAATGAATGAGGTGAGGGGGAGGGAGAGAGAGTAACAATGAAACAATTACAGTGCAGTCAGATAACTGTTCTAATAGGGGAATGACAGGTTGTTGGGACTACAAACAAGAATCAATGCCCAACTCTCTCTGGGATAATCAGGGAAGATTTCACAGTTTGGGGTTAACCTGTGTTTTCTGCTTTACCTGTACTTTACTATCCTGTCTGCTTCCTGTACATTTCTCACAAGGAGAGGATCTAGAAAGGGAGAGGTTCAGGTAGAGTGGGGGTCCTCTTCTATTTCTACCCCATTCCTCACTTGTCACCAGTGGGTCCTGCTGGCTGGACACATGTTCCTCCACACCCCATTATGAGTTCAGAGCCCAGGCTATCAGATCCTTGTGGAAATTTCTTCAACTGCCCTCTGATGTCAGTTTGACTGCAGACATGCAGAGCTTCTCCCCTCACTCCTTCATTTTCTCCACACTCCCCTCTCCTATTCTATCATATAACTTCACTCTCCAACTAAAAGCTGAAGCTTTGTTTTACACAGCTCCTAATTTCGAATACTTGCAGTATTAAGGGCAGGAGGCTGAAGTTTTCCAAAGAAAACCACTTGACCTGGTTACCAGAAGACCTGGGTGAGCAGACCCATTTCCCCGCCTGTACAACAAGAGTGCTTAGGAGTGGCGCTCATTGCCTTTATGTCCAGCAGGTGGCCTACACCTAAGAAGTACATGTGGGAGACAGTAGGCCTCACAGGCATGAAAGCCAGAGCATGATATCACACTTGAAGACATTCAAATAGATTCTCAAAACACTGACCACTTGGATTTTCCGCAGCAGTCCCTCTCATGTCTGACTTTGTCAGAAAGAGTCACAATTTATGACTAAATAAATGGGAATGCAAAGGTTGTTTGTCCCATAAAGAAGTGTTCATGTTTGTTAAAAGTTCCCATTTGTGGAGCAGAGGAGGGACATTGTGAAGCCTCCCCGTGCTTTGAGGGTGCTCATGGAGCTAGGAAGCAGCAAGCATACTTGAGTGGTTTGTGTTCTTTTACCACAGACTTCCAGAATCAGGAAGACTGCCCCAGCCAAGAGTGACCCTGAGGGAGGGGGCTGCACCACCCCAATTCCCCCACCCCCACCTGGCAGAGCAGGGCCTTTACCCAGCATTCCAGTCATAGGAGCTAAGTCAGGGAGGACCTGGATGTAGCCACCATGATAAATGCAGAGAAGAGAAAAGATCAGACAAAACAGCACCACCTGTTTGGATCGTGGAGGCCTCTGGATGAGTCCCAGGGAGAATTCATGTCCATGAGATGTGCCTATCTGCACACTAATGATTTGCAATGGTCACATATTCTGGTTCTGAAAATGTACTTACTGCATAAAACAGAAAGGTCGGCTCACACTTCCCTCGATACTTTTCAAGCACATCAAGGCAGTCTGCCTCTGCCTAAAGAAAACCGGGAGTTAGCAGGTTTGTTGGGGCTCAATGGGCACAGAGGCATGATCAGCAGGAGCCAGCACAGGAACAACCACGCCCCATGGCTGCCCATCCAGATGAAGTCCTCATTTGCTCCCCTGCTGCCCTTTCTGAGGTCTTTCATCTGAATCAGAACAACTGTCCTGTCAGCATATTGTTAAAAACCGTTGCCGGTATACTAGAATGGCGAATACGTTGAACTGATTCCCCCTCGCTCCCACTTAGCTCTTCCTCTGGTTCAAGGAAGCTGCCCTGTCTAACATCCTGCTACTGTCAAGTTTGACAGCAACAGAAGCGAAAGGTTCTCCCACTCTGCCTTCAAGGTCTGATAAGCCCACTGTACATGGACATCACAGATACTCTATTTAAGCATTTCCTCAACACACTGTCTACTCACTCCCAGTGGTGGAATTTTGAAATCCTAGTGATCGAACTTCTTGATAGATTAGTGTAAATTACATTTTTTTTTTCTGTCGCCAAGCTCTCTATGAACCTCAAACGTATGAAGTACATCAACAGTGTTCCTTGCACATGTCTCTGGAATTTATTCCTGAGTCGATTTATTAATCCAAGTGAATGTTTGCTAAAAATTCCCTGTTATGGAGCAGAGGATAGATTTCTTGAAACCCTGTTCTGTGACAGTGAAACTTACATCAAGAGTGTTGATTGCACCTAGAAGAAGCATACGGATTCTAGTGGCATGTATTCTTTCCTGGATTACATCGAGAAGATGCACAAGCCAAGAGTGGCCCTCAGGGAGATGGTGGGGTGGGTGGCAATCTTTTTTTTTTTTTTTCTTTCTAACTTTTTATTGTGAATTGAGTGAAGGTTTATAGACAAGATCATCAGTTTTACATTCAACAAATCATAAACTTTGTATCATCTCAATGATGCAACAATTATCCTGCTTCCTCCCTGTGGTTTCTATTTCCATTCCACCCTCCTACCCATCCCTTCTCAACTTTGTCCCCAACAAAATGTTGTCCCTTTGATTTTGAATGAGTGACGATTCCATAATGAGTGTACTTCATGAGCATTGTTGTCCCCACTATATATCTAACCTGCTTGGTTAGAATTTGGGCCATGAGGGTGAGTTCTTTTCCAGACCTGAAGGGTGGTTGAGGGCCACAATCTCAGGTTCCCCCTCACTCTTTCTGACCAGAAAGCCTGTTTTTTTTTTTTTTTTTTAATAATTTTGAGTTTTGTTGGGAGTGGCAATCTTTGTATTTAGAGAATTTCAAGGCATCACAACTGATGCCTTCGTAGTTATCTGAAAAGGGCAGGTCATATTTTCTGTTCTGCACTATTTACAAAATTTTCAATTTTCTTACAGTGTTGTGTGACTTTTTGCTAAGAAAGAATCTTACTAATGCAAAATGCAGGCAGTCCAGGCCAACTTCGATCCTCATCTTCTGGAAGAGGCTCACCACAGGTTTACAGGGGCCACACCAGCCTTGATAAACATCGACAACTGTGTAGAACCAAGAAGCGGGGACATTCAGCAGGGCATCAGCACCCACCAGGTCAGGCAAAATTCATACTGACTGACACATTTTAAACCGCACCCCCTCAGGTGGACATCTGCTTGCAGGATTATTTGATGGCTAAGGGAGTCCTGGTGTGGTGCTGTGGGTTAATGCACCACACTGCAAAGCCAGATGAACTGCAAGGTCGGCAGTTTAAGCTCACCAGCTGCTCCTTGGAAACCCTATACAGGGTCGCTATGGGTTGGAATTGACTCAACGGCACTTAACAACAACAACAAAAGGGAGTTATTATCACATCAGCTCACAAGAGATCATGGAAACAGCAGTTAGTCCTCATTCTATGAGCTCAATATTCTGAACTGTGAACATAATGAAGTAATAATGAGACAGGAACCCTCATCCTGGGAATGTAAAATGGTACAGCCACTGTGGCAGCTCCTCAAAAACTTGAACACAGAGCTACCATATGACCCAGCAATCCTACAAGAACATCTGAATGTCTGTTGCAGCAACTTTCATAAAGTGAAAAATTGTGGAAACAACTGAAAATATCTATCAACAAATGAATGGGTTAACGAAATGTGGTATATATACACAATGGAATATTATTCAGCCATAAAGACAAATGAAACCTTGATGCAAGTCACAAATGGATGAACCTTCATTTTGCTGAAAGAAGTCAGTTACAAAAGGACAAACACTGTATTACTTCACTTATATGAAATAAGCAAATAGACTGAAACAAAAAATTACTAGCAGCTACCAGGGGTAGCAAGGAGGGGGAAACAGGGAATTTTTGCTTAGTGGGCAGTGAGTTTAATTTAATGGTGGTAGAATAATTTGGTAAAGAATAGTGAGAATCACTGTACAAGTTGAAGAATGTAATCAATGAAACAAAACTACATAAGAAGAAATTGTTGAATTAATGTGTTTTGGTGTATATTTTTTCCACCATGATAAGAAATAATCGTTTTTTTGTTTTGTTTTGTTTTGTTTTTAAGTAAGTATACCAGAAAATAATTTTCTTAACATGAATCCTTTACCTTAAAGATTTTCAGACTCATGGACCATGAGCCACAGCCTCCACAAGCCTAAGACCAAAAGAACCAGATGGTGCCTAGCTATCACTACCGACTGCTATAGCGGGGATCACAAGAGAAGGTCCCGGAGTGAGAGAAGAAGTGTAGAACAAAACTGAAATTCACAAAAAAGAACGGATTTACTGGTTTTCTAGAGACTGGTGGGACCCCGGAGACTATGGCCATTAGATACCCTTCAAACTTAGAACTGAGTCCACTCCTAGAGATCAACTCAGAGCCAATCTCTGGTGCAGTGAATTATCTAACATCCTTTCTACCCACAGTCTGTAACTGCCACCAAACAACATTTCTGTCTGCTGGGTCTGGTTAAAAGAAGGTAGGAGAAGTTACTGATAGGACATGATTCAGATGTTAGCAGAGTTCATTGTAATTTGTAAAACTTTGAAACTCTAGCATGGGTTTAAATGAGCCATCTTACAAGCGGGGGTGGGGAGAATCTTACTGCCATCAAAGGAGAGATTGGAGGGGAGCTTATCCTTTGGACCCCAACATCCCTTCACATTGAACTTCTGCAACCCAGGGACAGAAAGCTGTGACACTGGAGGAGTGACAAAGGAGCAGCAGCAGCAGAACCAAGAGTCAGAGCAGCAGACAGAGCCGTGGGCTTCTGAGCCCACAAAGCAAGTAAAGCTGAGTGACTTTGGGCAGGGAACAAGCTTTTAGAGTGGCATTTAAGTGGGCAGCTAGGTTTGATGAACCATGGAGCTAGAGTCAGCAACTGACTGGAACAACTGTGCCCCTAGCATTTCTGACCCTGAATTTGTATCCTGTTAACTTCCCTATTCCATCACACATCTGTCAGTTTGTCGTACTGTGGTGGCTGGTGAGTTGCTGTGATTCTGAAAGCTATGCCTCCGGTATTTTAAATACCAGCAGGGTCACCCATGGTGGACAGGTTTCAGATGAGTTTCCAGATGAAGACAGACTAAGAAGAAGGACTGACGAACTACTTCCGAATATTTAGTCACTGAAAACCTTAAGAATAGCAGAGACACACTGTCAGATGTAGTGCCGGAAAATGAGCCCCTCAGGATGGAAGGCACTCAAAATGCGACTGGGGAAGAGCTGCCTCCTCAAAGTTGAGTTGACCATGATGATGCGAATGGAGCAAAGCTCATGGGAGAAAAGCCTGTGGAACCTTCATTTGCTGACGGGGCACACCTCAAAATGAAGAGAAACAGCTGCAAACATCTATTAATAATCGGAACATGGAATGTACGAAGTATGAATCTAGGAAAATTAGAAATTGTCAAAAATGAAATGGAATGCATAAGCAAGGCATTATGAGCTGAAATGGACTGGTATTGGCCATTTTGAATCTGACAACCAGATGGTTTACCATGCTGGGAATGACAAATTGAAGAGGAATGGTGTTGCATTCATTGTCAAAAAGAACATATCCAGATCAGTCATGAGGTACAACGCTGTCTGTGATACGATAATATCCATGTGCCTACAGGGAAGACCAGTTAATACCACTATTATTCAAATTTACGCACCAACCACTAGAGCCAGTGAGGATGAAATAGAAGAATTCTACCAACTTCTTCAATCTGAAGTTGATCAAACATGCAATCAAGATGTATATATCATTACCCTTGATTGGAATGCAAAGGTTGGGAGCAAAGTGTAAGGATCAGTGGTTGGAAAATACGGCCTTGGTGATAGAAATGATGCTGGAGATCGCATAGTAGAATTCTGCAAAACCAATGATTTGTTCATTTCAAATACCTTCTTTAAACAGCATAAGAGATGACTATACACATAGACCTCACCAGATGGACTACATAGAAATCAAATTGACTAAATCTTCAGAAAGAGACGATG